ATATATATATATATATATATATATATATATATATATATATATATATAATAGCACTTTTTATATCTGAGTTATTTTCATGGAATGACCGATGTCCGATATTTTACTTTATCGCTAATATCAGCTGATACCGATACCACGCCGATAATATTGTGCATCCCTATTTTCATTTTTAGCCACTTGTTCTTTCGTGACTTGTTACAAATCCCTGAATGGATTTGAAGTACTAATTTAGCATCGCATGTCTCTATGTGACAGGTTACAGAGCATTTTATTTGTGCCTAGATTTTTTTTCTTTACAGTTTTACTAATTTTATTGAAGGACGACCAACACAAAACCATCAGCATGTCCCTCAAGATGTAAAACAATTTCAAATAAGAACTAAATCTAAACAGACTAAAAACTAATCTAAAAGAAAAGCAGAGAAAGAAGTTATTTAGATGTTTGTTTTAATTTTTATGGCCAATAATACAGTGAACAAGCAGCGAGGCCAGAACGTAACCAAACTAATCATGTTTCCTTAAAGCTGTGAAAGAGATGTCCAGGAAAAGACAAGTCTGATGACAGTAAAAGATGCTAAAGAGCACCGAGTGATTACAAACCCCATGAGATTTGTGTAGCTCATCTAAATAAGCAGCCATATTGAAGCCTTTCTCTCTCTACTTTACCATTTCAGGCCCTAGACTGAGAGGCATGGTGATCCAGGATCCAGACAAGTCCACTGTACCTGATGAGACATTATCCCACTGCGAAAAAGCCGAAAAGATCTCAAACACTCTCACTCCATGTGCCTATCTCCCCTCTCGTCTCTCACACACTCGACCCCGCTCCAGCCCAAACAAGTATCGCTTTACGGAAATTTCCAACTGCAGCGGCGAAGTGTAAGGTCCCAGCCACCCTGCTGCATGATAACAAGGTGTTGAGAGAAGAGTTTGAGGAGTAAAGCAAGGAGAGAACAGCCAAAATAAAGTCAAGGAACTGGAATGATCGATCGCACAAGATCAGCACGAAGCAAACAGCTGACATTAAACTATAGCCTTGACTTTCAACAGAGGCTTATCAGCCGTTTCCATTTTATCAACATGACATTCCATAAAAAAAAAAAAGAAACACGCTGCGCATGAAGAGGTTTAAAAATCACATGATGTTCTGTTCCTAAATGTTGTAACAACTGCAGCAGCTCCCTCTGACTCCCCAGATATCGCCTAATACGAGCTGTCCACATTCCAGACTCATTCTGCAGTACAACAGATAAACTTCATTATTTACGAACGTCAAAAGGAGAATTGAAGGGGACCGAACAGTCAGCCGTGCAGGAAAAGTACTTGTGAATTAAAATAAAATCTGTGTAGTCTTTTAGGTGCTGATAAAAAGTTCGATCCTAAAGAAACAAACTGAAGACGATCTCTATTATTTTCTAATCTTGACAGAACAGGACTGAGAAAATAATCTGCAGATTCCCCGGACTCTCATCCAAGCACACGACGACGAAACAATCAGCCTCCCTCACGCAGAATTAAAAGATTAAAGCAGATTTGGTTACCCTCTCTCAAAACAACTGTATTAAAACATGATGAAAAGCTGCTGAAAAGATTAGGGGTTTCAAAAAACATCTTGGTGATACCAATAGATCCTTCACCTTGACATACCGTAAGTGACTGCAGGTCTTTGCTGCATCTCAACTAATTGCCAAAGAGGACTTGACCCGTCAGTCAAGCTGGTTGTTTTGTTTTAGTCAAGGTCATTCAAATCAAATTTAGAAAACCTTTTAATGCCAAAAAAATTACAAAACAGGAGAAGAAGGTTTAAAATCTGAATTATCTGTTGGAAAAAAAAAAAAAATTATGATACAGTTATGCAATAAGATGCACACAAAAATAAACTGATTTTCAAAAACTGACTGTGCAAAGCACGACCACTCAGCTTGCTGGTGACAAACAGGCAATGGGAAACGTTGCCCGTTTTTCTCCTGATTTTGTCAGAATAAAAGTTGCGAGCCAGAACCTTTAATACCAATCCAGACACCGGCTCGCTCAGGTCTCTGTTCTGTGAACACTTTAGCTCTTAGTGCAGGGCTATGCAACTACATTTTTCAGGGGGCCACAGTTACTGAAAGCCACGAGCTCAGTTTGTTTTACAGTTTAAAATCTAGTTTTATTTAAAAACAAACCCATTGGTGGGCCGAACTGAGCACATCCGTGGGCCTGATTTGGCCCCCAGTTGAGTAGCCCTGCCTTAGTGAGTTTCAATCCACATATTTATCTGTTTAAAACCAGCAGTCTGAGGATACTTTATTGTTTTTTACAATAATAACCCTGAAATTAATTATATCTATATCCATAACCACAATAGAAATGACTAGTTTTAGCAGCTTTCTTGCCCAAAATGTATGAAAATATGCTAATTAATTTTTACTGTGATAGAATTATACAATAAAGCACAACGATTAATTTGTGCTAGTTGTTTCAGCCTGTTAGCCACTCCGTTAGTCCAACTTTAAACCACTCAATGTTGTTTTTCTCCAAAAGAAAAATGAACCATTTTCTACATTTGAGGCACGATACTTCCAGCCTAGTGAAAAACAAACGGTGCAGTTTTGCACACATTTCGATACTACGAGTCATCGTCATAAAACGATCTACAAAAAAAACTCTCAAGTTCCAGTGAGAAGAATAATTTTGATAAAAACTTAATAAAAGTTCAAGTCAATGAAGAAATCTTGTCTGGACAAACTGGTCTAAAAATTAACAATTTAATGTTTAATTATGCTTTCTTCGCTCAAATTGTGAATCTTATTAATCTAATCATTATTATATATTTTTAAACAAATAGGTTTAGGTTTATTGTCAAAAGCAGATCAACACAAGGTCAACAATGCAATGAAATGATCAGGACGAGAAGAATCATCTCGACTCGCCAAAAAACAAACAAGAAAAACCAAAGCATTCAACAAAAATACAAAAACAAGACACCAAAAGTAGAAAAAAAATACATCTACAGCAGCATGGTCCTATTAGCAGTGTGGTTCTGTTAGCAGCATGGTACTGTTAGCAGCATGGTACTGTTAGCAGTGTGGTTGTGTTAGCAGTGTGGTACTGTTAGCAGTGTGGTTGTATTAGCAGCATGGTACTGTTAGCAGTGTGGTTCTGTTAGTAGCATGGTACTGTTAGCAGTGTGGTTCTGTTAGCAGCATGGTACTGTTAGCAGTGACATTCTTTTAGCAGCATGGTACAGTTAGCAGTGTGGTACTGTTAGCAGCATGGTACTGTTAGCAGCATGGTACTGTTAGCAGTGACATTCTTTTAGCAGCATGGTACTGTTAGCTGTGTGGTTCTGTTAGCAGCATGGTACTGTTAGCAGCATGGTACTGTTAGCAGTGTGGTTGTGTTAGCAGTGTGGTACTGTTAGCAGCATGGTACTGTTAGCAGTGCGGTTCTGTTAGCAGCATGGTACTGTTAGCAGTGTGGTTGTATTAGCAGCGTGGTACTGTTAGCAGTGTGGTTCTGTTAGCAGCATGGTACTGTTAGCAGTGTGGTTCTGTTAGTAGCATGGTACTATTAGCAGTGTGGTTCTGTTAGTAGCATGGTACTATTAGCAGTGTGGTTCTGTTAGTAGCATGGTACTGTTAGCAGTGTGGTTCTGTTAGCAGCATGGTACTGTTAGCAGTGTGGTTCTGTTAGCAGCATGGTACTGTTAGCAGTGACATTCTTTTAGCAGCATGGTACTGTTAGCAGTGTGGTACTGTTCGCAGCATGGTACTGTTAGCAGCATGGTACTGTTAGCAGCGTGGTACTGTTAGC